TTCTGTGATGCAAAGCTGAATTTCCATCATCATTACTCCAGTATAAAGCGTCACATGATCTTCAGAAATCATTCTAATATGCTGATTTATTATTAGAATTATCAACAGTTGTGCTGCCAAATATTTTTTTTTTGGATAATAAAATCCTTTTTCAGGATTCTTTGATGAATAAAAAGTAAAAAAAACCAGCATATTATACTGATTTCTGAAGATCATGTGACACTTTATACTGGAGTAATGCTGCTGAAAATTCAGCTGCGTATCACAGAAATAAATTACTGTTTAATGTATATTAAAATATAAAAACGTTATTTTACATCGCAATAATATTTCACAATATTACATTTTTTCCTGTATTTTTGATCAAATAAATGCAGCCTTGATGAGCAGAAGAAACTCCTGTAAAAACATGAAAAATCGTTCTGATCCCAAACTTTTGACCGGTAGTGTATATGTACAGTAGAGTCGGTTTTTCAGTTCAGTGTGACGTTTATTGAATGCGAGTAAAGCGTCCGAACCCCAGTCCGTTGTGGAGTCAGGCCGTGTAACGTGTCTTCCTCCCTCCTCCGTGTAGAAAAGCAAGAGCAGAGCCCCTCGTCTGAGTCCTGGGACGTGGATGAGGGTCTGATCTCTAAACTCAAGGAACAGTACAAGAAGGAGCGCAAGGGCAAGAAAGGGGCGAAGAGTAAGTGGGACAGGAACCTCTCGCTCGCCGCCTCCTCTTTCTTTCTTTACTCTTTTATTTCTTCTAGTGCTCAACCGATATCAGCTTTAAACCACTGAAATCTGTGTGAATCTCACACAAACACGGCCAGGTCATATTTCAAGGATTTACAGTCAAATCAAAATTTCAACATTTCTCACATTATCACAGTTTATTGGCTATAGTTTAGAAAAGGGTAATAAGAACTCAGTTAAACTGTGTCAGAACAACCTCATCTTGATAATGTCAGATAACTTTGATAGAAAGGTATGTAACAAAACATGGTCAGGTCAAAGTGTCAAATCAAATTTGTATCAGTTTTACTGGTAGTCCACTGTATGAAGAATTTTGGGGTCACAGTTTACTTTATTTTGCTATCCTCACTTACATAAATGAACTATAGTGTCCTGCACCCACTAGTAAAAAAATAAATAAAAAATTATATCTGGTGTCTGAATAATTTTTGGTTTGACTGTATATTTGTTATTTATGTTATGTATATTTATATACATTTTTAGGACTATTAAGAATTGTTTTTTTTTTTTTGCTTTATTTGCACCCCAAATTCTCTTTACTGTTTATTAATACGAAGTTTTTACTACATTACTGTAAAAAAAAAAAAAGTGGTTAAATATGTTTAATAGTCATGAAGATAACAGAAGTCATAATGCATTGAAAGAATTTGTGTAGGATTTACTTTTTAATTTGCAATTTTACTTCAGAAGTTGCTGGTAAATTAAAAAATAAATAAAAAATCAAATTTAAAAAGTGAAATTTTGAAGCAGAAAGACTGAAATATTATTTTTTTAATTAGGTTTTTTTTTGTAAAAGTCTTTTTTTCTTGTAAATGTATCTTCGTTTTATTTACAACTTATTTTTTATGATTCATTTTCTTTATGCAGAATAATTTCTCATTTTTTATTTTTCTAATTTTTTACAATATTATAATATTCATAATTTCTCTTTTTTATATATATATATTTTTTTATGATATCTAATCTGAACACGTCTTGTTTTTGTGAGATTCACACATTTATATATTAATTTAAAAATATTTAAAAATGGAAACCATTTGGTTTGAAGGCCATTTCTGGCAGAGTTATCAGGTGTTGCTGATCATGTCAGAATCAGCCGTTCATTTGACCTGATATATCGGTTTATCACTAGTTTCTTCTAATGTACCTGTATAATTTCTTTCAAAAAGCATTGGCTAGTTTGACAAAAATCCAGCCGCTCTCTTCAGTCCTCCCCGTCGCTCATCCGTCCTGTCATCCGCTCCCGTGTTCTTTTGTTCCTCCCATTGTCTTTTCTTTTAGGATCCAGCTGCATCTCTCACACAACTACTGTTTCTGTTCCCCTTCTTCATTTTGTTCTTCAGCTGCTCATTTCTGTTGCTCTCTTTGCATTTATGCTGGTGCTCTGAGAGGGGTGTGGCTTGTTTGCTCCGCCCCTCTATGAATGGGGTGTGTATGAATCAGGCTCCGCCCCCTTCCTTACTTCCACTGTAAGAAAGTTCAGATGGGTCTTCAGCAATCGCTGCTCACTTTATCAATTATCACTCTGATTTTTCCTCTGAGTTTTATTCCAGTGCTTCATTTCTTTGCCATTTCATTCTGACTGATTTATTATCGTGCCAAATCAGAAAACAGTCCACCTTTGACCAGGAAAGCAAAGTTAAACTGAATCCTAAGCCTAGACCAGAGATGCCCAGAGTTGACCTTTGATGACCCTTGGTCACAGTTATTACTGTTAACTAAATAAATAAAAAACTATAAAAGCCGTTTTCACCACATGAAATAAAATAAATGTTAACTGAAATAAAAAAAAAAAACAACATTTAACATTTTTGGTATTAGGTTTGTATTGAATTCTAAAATAAGTGTATCTGATTAAAAATAATTTAAACATTCTAAAAATTGTTATTTAAATTTTTGTTTAATTATTTAAAAAATACAATTTAATACATTTGAATATAGTATTAATATAAAAATGTTATTTCCGTATTTCAGTGTTTATTGTCTGTATTTCTCCTGGATTGAGGTAGAAAACCATTGAAATTCTGACTAGATGACAATAAAATCAACATATCTTCAATTACATTTTTATCTAATTTACATTTTTGTTTTAACATTTTTTTTATTTATTTTGTAAATTGAGTTAGAAAAAAAAAATCTAAAAAAAAAAAACATTTTTGTTTATTTATTTACAAAAATAAAATCTAATACATTTTTATGTAATATAGTGATACAACAGTTTTATTCCTGTATAGCAGTGTTTATTATATGATTTTCTCCTGGATTAATGTAGAAAACTGCTGAAATTCTGATTTACACAGCAATAAAATCAGCATATCTTAAATTCTAATTTTTGTTTGTTTTATTTTTGTAAAATAAGTACATTAAATAAAGCACATTTCAAATTCTAAAAATTGCTGTTTACATTTTTGTTTAATTATTCAAAACATTCTAAATGTTATATATTTTAATATAATATAGTTGGATATATGCAACATTTACTTTTGTCTCGCCTCCCTTAATAAAGTTAGATTTTTGGCTCTTCATATTAAAACGTTTGGGCATCTAGACGAAGCATAGAAGGAGAAATGCTTTTGTTTATTGATTTAAAAAATGTTGAAAAATAAAAACATTGGTGGAAGGTGGGCTGAATTTTGCCTGGGTTTCTCAGATGAAGTGTGGTTGTTGTGGTGTGTTTCAGGGCCGAACCGCTGTAAGCTGCAGGACATGTTGGCTAACCTGCGTGACGCAGAGGATCTGTCGTCTATCCAGCCGCCGGTGGCTCCTCCGGTCCGTCCCAGCCTGCCCCGCCTCAACGAGCCCCCGCTGGGACGCACCGACGAGGGTATTTCTGACACACTCACGGTTATGTCGAGGTCACACTGCACGGTTTTCAAAGTCGTCGGATCACCGTTGTTTTCACACTGCATGACTAGCATTCAGTTGCTGCTGTGTTTACATTAGTGGTCGACCGATATTGGTTTTTTGACAGCCGATGCCACAGAGCACTCAGTATTCTGGGAAGTTTGTGTGCATTGGGAATCATATTTTTTCAAATAAAGCCAAGGTATCACTTGTTTTACATACAGCACACAGTGGAAATGACATGAATATGACAGTGGGCAAATGCATAAAGCGCAGCATAATTTGTCCGCATTCAATTCACATGGACCGACCGTCACGCAGAGTACACGCGATCATGCAGGATACACATACACACTTCACAAGATCTCACAACTGGATTCGACTAAGTTTGCAAGGTTTTTTAAATTAGATGTTTATTAGACATTCAAAGATTTGTTTAAATGATATAAATGTGTATTTGCTGAATGCTGACGGCAAACGAGAAAGTATTATAATGTTTGCCTTTCTATTACTAATAATATAAAAGCAATCATTATAATACTTTTTGTATACATTTTAATTCCTTTGTTTAACCGTTCTATCTGATTATTAGACAGACTTCTATCCGTATTAGACAGAACTGTTAACGACGACAGCGAACAAGAGGGAGAATGTGAGCACTCTGTGCGCAGGCGCTGCCCCTCTCAGCGCCGTCAAAATAAAAGTCCCGCCTCGAACACATCGGCTAAACAGAAAAACTTATCGGCCAATGCCGATATTTAAAAACTGCCAAATATCGGTCGACCACTAGTTCACACTGCATGATGGATCGACGACAGGAGGTTACACACTGCATGACTTTACAATAGGAAGAATCACAGACAACTCTGCCTGGTCCGCAAACTACATTTCACAACCAAACGCACGCGAGACTGGAAATGTTATCAAAATGGTAGCCTGCAAGAAGTTCGCTATACAAATGTGACCCTGGAGCACAAAACCAGTCATAAGGGTCAATTTTTCTTAATTGAGATTTATGCATCATCTGAAAGCTGAATAAATAAGCTTTCCATTGATGTAAGGTTTGTTAGGATAGGACAATATTTGGCTGAGATACAACTATTTGAAAATCTGGAATCTGAGGGTGCAAAAAAATCTAAATATTGAGAAAATCATCTTTAAAGTTGTTCAAATGAAGTTCTTAGCTATGCATATTACTAATCAAAAATTTAGTTTTGATATATTTACGGTAGGAAATTTACAAAATATCTTCATGGAACATGATCTCTACTTAATATCCTAATGATTCTTGGCATAAAAGAGAAATGGATCATTTTGACCCATACAATGTATTGTTGGTTATTGCTACAAATATACCCCAGCGACTTAAGACTGCTTTCTTATTGATTCCTAGTTTCCATTCCAATAAGATAAAAAGTCAAACATTTAGATGTCAAACATTTATTCTGTGTCTTTTTGCAAAGCATTCTGTTGCAGCTGAATAACACAAGCAAAAATACAGAACACTTACAAGAGGAACTTTTGCCTATGCTTTTAACAAAAATACCACAGCAGTTTACAGTGTTACCTTTTAGCCGCAACAACAGTTACGTCACTTGTCCACCGCGGCACCGTCCCCACCATCGTTTAGATTTTTTTATAGTAATAAAAATCATTTAGTTCAGTTAGAGAACAGACACTACATGAGGATCTACATTATCTCATGAGGAGCGAGTCGAGCTGACTGACCAGAAGAGTGGGGTGAGAAACACAAGACGATGGCGGATGATTTAGTTTACAAACGAAATGCAAAAGCGCCTGTTTGTCAATATTTTGGATTTTGAAAAGCCTGTTGACTTTTGCCGTTTATCTAAGGTGATTTTTGAAGTTATTTGTTTCTCATTTATTTGGTTCCACAGTGTTTGCTGATTTTTACTTTATTTAAACTTTGTGTGATTTATTTATTTTATTTTACATCAAGGTTTATGCCGTGCCTCCAAGCTTTCTTACGCGTTTCTTATTTATTTGGTTCCACAGTGTTTGCTGATTTTCAGTTTTGTAGCCTTGCTTATACCTATTTAAACGTTGTGTAAGTTATCTGTTATTTTATATTAGGCATATAGCATGGTGTATTTTTATTCATTTTGTTAATAAAAGCTCTATGCGTTTGACGTTGTATTTTGTAGTGCTGTGTTCAAAATATCGATACGACGATGTATCGTCACAGAGATTTGACGATACGAGTATCGATACAGCTGGCCCTGTATCGATATTGTGGCACGTGTGCAGCAGTGGACCACGCTTAATTTGTTTAAAATTTTACAACGTTTAAAATTGAGTAGTTTCTAAAAAATAATGAATAGAGCATATATAGGCTACAACAAGGTTTAATCTGGCTGCAGAGGAACACAACTGGGTTGCCTGATATAAAGAGACGTAATCCCCAAAACAGAGCTTTACACTTGCGCAATACGGAAATATCTGCTAAGTGTGTTACTTATCTTTGTCAACCTGGCAACCCTGTGTACGCGCTCTCTCTCCACTGTGGATAAACACGCTTGCTTTCTGAAAACACCGGTTTTAGTTTTAGCTTGCAGTTTAGCGATCTCCACTTCAAGTCTATTCTCAGAAAAGTGT